CGTATAAACTCTCAGAAAACTCTCATTAAACGGTTATCAACGCTCTGTAAAGCTTCTTATTTTCGTCAGGGTTTCTACTCAAAACATCTTGAGAATGGCTCGTAAGGCCTTATACATATCTTGTTAGTAATTTCATGAGCCTTAAGTCATAATTGTTTAATATTTATGACTTTAGAACATCAATAATTTCGAGCATCATATTTTTTCCGTTATGAACGGGTTAATAGTTTTCTACTATTAATATTTTGATTATTGATGGACTGCGTATCTCATAAAATGAGCGTCTATCTTCCTTATAAAAATCTAGATAAAAAAAAACATACATCTTTTGTCTTTCGCTAAAGTTGATTGCCAACTGAAAAAAAAAAGAAAATTTTGAATTCTAGGAATAATCGATTTTATGCGCTTAAAATTTTATTCTAATTCTACTTTATTTAAAGTATATTAGTTTGTGAGGTATGCAATGTTTACAAACTCACTCACACTAATAAATATTAACATTAATAAATATTAAGATCTATTGTACTATCTCATTAAAAGTTTTATTTAAAATTTTTTATTTTAGCTACCTCTACCAAGTGACGAGATAGCAGCTTCAGTAAATGAGATGACTCTACTTTCGCTGCAGCCTATTACAGCAGAAACCAACGAACTGCCTATTCAACAAAACGAAAAAAGACAATCTACACCTAATTTATCCTCTATGGAATCTATTCAGAAAATGAAAACTTCTTTAAAAGATCTTGCTGAGGCAAGCAATATTACTTTAGAAGCTTTAGAAGCAGCAATTCTCCTAAAACAGCAGCAATTTCTTAAAAAACAGCAAGAAACCATAACTACAAGTACTACAACAACTACAGCAACACCTCTCAAAAAGTAAAGTCTTTAATCACTTTTTGTCATTATTCCAAATGTCATTATAGTACTTTTAGGTACTATATTTACTGTGTTTAGTTACTATAGTTTTTTATTACTATATTTAATAATCTATTTATCAATATCTATTGCTACTTTTGCATAATATTTCATTGACTATAATTCACACATAGTTTGATATCTTTGAATTGTACAATAGCTTTTCTTAAATATATAAAAACTCTGTATCTTAAATGTATTAAATCTCTTCTTTTATTCCTCCTCGTAAAATATTATAATGGAAGGAAAGTGACCACTTCGAGGCAATAACCAGATCTTTGGGTCAATTCTTCCTATAGCTGCGAACTTTCCTTACACTGAAGAAGATCTAAACTAGGGGTCAAAACGTTTGTCAAACATTTTTTGAAATAAAGAAGCTTATTGACCCAAAGATCTGGTTATTGCCTCAAATTGGCCACTTCCCTTCCATTATATTAAATCTCTTTTTTTTACGTTTCTAGTTTTGTCACTAGTAAAAAAGATAATATAAAAAATAACAATTTTATGACTGGCTTTTTTCTGTAAAGTTATTCTTTCTTATTGGTTGTCTCAAAAGCAATCTGAGTTTGTTTTTAAATGTTTACTTTTTAATGCTAAGTTTTAGAAATTTAAGAAAAGCTATTGTCTCACACGATCTAATAGTAAAATAGATACAATACTTAATAGTTTTTTAAATTTAGTGTATATAACTTCGAAGCCACTAAAGTGATGAATGCACCCCGGGAATATTATCCTGTAGGATATGACAGAAATTTTGATGACAATTTTGCAAGTCGTGTTGATTTACCAGAAACGAGTTTCTACTGTGGCGATCAAAAACACTTTCCAGGACTTTACGCAGATGAAGATTTAGGTTGCATGGTAAGCGTTTTTATCACAAAAAATAATTTCTGAAAAAATATAACATGTATTAGATATGTATACATAAATTTTTTTAATATTAGTAAAATATAAATAAGTCACTTAATTATTTGTCGAGAAATTTAGTATTTATTATCGCTGAGTCATGCAAAAATGCACAAATACGTGAACATTTAAAAACAGATTGTGTTTGTCTTGAGTAATTGTACAATACATTACTAATTTTTAATTTTGACTCCGCGTCCAATTATTACAGTTTTTGCCGAGAAGATATATCCGCCTACAGTACACAAGTTAATTCTTTTGGATACTTACTTTGCTTCTATTAAATTACAACAGATAGGCGTTACAAGCAAAAAACTATTTTAGCAATACAAAGAATGTCTTCAGTATTTACGCGCTTTAAACTAACGCCCAAGTGCATAAGCATAAAAAATGAACGCGGAATACTCAATAAAATAAGCGTTTGAAAGCGAGAATTGACATTATGATGACGTCAGTATTCAGTTTTTGAAAGCCCTTACAATATTAAAGTAAATACTTGCAGAATAACAGTTATAATATAATAACATAAAGAGATATAATAAAACAAGTGTCTGAAATTTTTTAAAACTGCTAAAGAAGAAAAATCTATAAAAATCAATCTGAACAGAAAAGCCATTTTGCATAATTTGCACTTAACGAATTAAAACGAAGAATGCCTCAGGTTCAAACTTGGTAACTCCAATGTGAAAGTTGTGAAAAAGAAAGGCTTTGTTGAACTTGTGTGCAGGTTGTTTTGCAATATAATTTAAACAAAGATGTGTTTAACAAACGTTTTGACTATATTTTTAGTTCTTTTCAGTGTTGTACAAATTGACATAATAATAGTAACATGTAAAAGAAACGTGAGAGAAAAGAAAAGACAACAAAATATAAAAATGATTAAAAGTAATTAAAGACATATCTTTATTCAAACCGACACTCATATTAGTAGACGATGTGTAATTGTCAAGATATTGAAATAGGTGTTGTCAAGTGAAATGTATCGGGGTTGGATTATTCGAGCATTTTTTAGAGTCTTTTAGATTTTACAGTTTTTTACGGTAAAATACGTATAAAACGTATAATATTTATCAAAGTATAATATTATGTTTGTAGAAATGCAAACTACATTTGTCAACAAATTTTTTAAGCTTGTTGATTGACCTAAAATAAAAAAGTACTAGAACTTCAAGAATTTTTTTATCCAGTAAAGAAATAAGGACGTCACCTCAGGTTCTCTCTCAAATTTCTAATATGAATATTTGAAATTAACGGCTATATAAAGCCAGTGCAAGATGTTGTGCAATAAATAAATATACTTAGTTATGAATTCAAAACGTTTCGGCTATATTTTTAACCCTTATCAATTGAATCTGTTAACAATAATACACGGTAACAAGTAAATCTTAAATTAGTCATTATAACATGGATCTTACATACATTAACTACTGACTTTAATAGAAATCAAACACTACATAGTTAATAAAAAGCGATAGTTATCACACATCAACAATAATAAGTTGGTTGAGTATCTAATGCAAGTACATGCTTGCTTGAACGTAAGATCGATACTGAGTCAAAGAGCAATAAATTGAATTTAAATGAGAAACACAACTCCCTCTGTACGTTAAAATAGAACCTTGTCGAGTATAGGGATGTATGTATCATGTAAAGCCTCTGTGTCCCTCATTAAATTCAATCTATGCTCTTGTTTTTTAATGAATAACATTTTGGAAGTTAGTCGTTTATAATAACTGTTTTCTTTGCCTGCATTCGTTTTTTATTGGCAGTACTGAAAATCTATAGATTCATGTCACGTATACTATAGATTTTTCAGTACTGCCAGTAATAACCGAACAGGGTCTATATCTAATATTTTGACTGAACTCCAATCAAAACTATGGCCCGTCTCTATGCTATGTTTAGCAACTACAGACGTATCAGTTTGTCCTTTCTTAACATAATTAATGTGTTCTTTTATTCTGGTTGTTAAATGTCTTTTAGTTTGACCAACATAAGAGGATGTACATTGTTGGCAAGATATACGGGAGACAACAATTTTTTGCTTATTATAGGGAACCGGATCTTTGTGTGTTTTTATAAATTTCGACAACTGGTTTAAATTCCGATATGTGGAATTAATAGTTCTGTTGTTGATTTTGATATGGTTAAAATTGGCGTTATACTTATTTATGTACGGAAGGACAAAAAAGAATCTATTAATCTTTTCGTCTTTCTGTATGGAACTAATAATGTGTTTGTTAAGTTTATTTGTGAACAATGCTCTCAATCTCTTATTAATAGTGAAATCTATTGGATAGTTGTTATTTAATAAGGTGTTAATAGTGAAGTGTAAATTTTTATTATGGAATTGCGGATCTGATAAAAGGATGGCTCTATCCACAAGTGAGTAAATAGTGCCTACTTTGTGACTGAGAGGGTTTTGTGAATGATAATTTAAATATCGACCAGAATAATATATATGTATGTTGTATTATTGTTAACAGATTCAATTGATAAGGGCTAAAAATATAGCCAAAACGTTTTGAATTCATAACTGAGTACATTTATTTATTGCACAACATCAAGCACTGGCTCTATATAGCCGTTAATTTCAAATATTCATATTGGAAATTTTTTTATCCTGTAACCAATTAATGCGCTTAAAAAATCGTGTCGTACAAGAAACGTAGTGCATTTGCTTTGGACGCTTACACTTACACTTAAGGCCGAAGCACAGACTTTTGCATAACGCATAAGACATAAGGAAAACAACCAGACTAGTCTTTTATTTTTATCCCTACTTTTTGTTCTAGAAGGCTTTGATTGGTTGATTTTGTTATGTCTTATACGTTATGCAAAAATCTGTGATTCGGCCTTTGCACTTACGCGTTTTTCGCTAAACGCTTTTTTTGTCTTTATCATTAAAAAAAAAAGAAGCGTTTAAAGTGTGTGAGTGTTGAAAATGGACGCAGTCGTAATATCGATCCTAACTTTAACTCTAACCTTACAAAGGGTGGGCACAAATTGCGAAATTGAATGAGCCATAGTTCATTCGAAAGGGGAGGTCAAAGGTATAAAAAGTGTAAGAGAGTTTGAGTGTATGGGCCTTGGTTTACGAGAATTTTGCATGCAAAGTTAAGCGTACGGCCAGCTATACGTTAAATAACATAAATAAGTTAAACTCAACGTGAAGCGTCGTGGCTGCGGCATAAGGCGCGCCGCGCGCTCTGTAATTTTTGGCGTCCATTGCGAGTTCAAAACCTCGCAGTGCCAACTGTTTTTTATTATAACGACTATATCTATCAACCGAATTAATTATTCTTATTTTTTGAAATGAAATATTAATAATAACAACGCAATTAATTAATTATGTATAATAAGAACAAGAACGGGAATTTCTGTACTTCTTTATGTTTATTCATTGTGTTTTTATTTATTATAAATTTCGGACATTGCTGTACAATAGTGTGAATGGAAAGTAACATAAAAACATTGGAAACATAAATGGATTGCACCAACCGTACGTGGGCAACAATCCATTTTTGTTAATTGTTGATTCCTGGAGAGATCAAAAAAATATAAATATGTGTGACGCCAATTTTATAAATGATGAAAATAAGCCGACATGTAACTTGCAATTTATACCTCCAAAGTGCACTCCGATTTGCCAACTATGCGATGTCTATTTTTTCAGACAATTCAAAATTATCATTAAACGAATTCAAAACTATCCAGATATTCTTATTGATGGAGAAAAGAAGGAATTGAATTCTCGATATAATGCAATAAGAATTCAATCATTAACGCGTTATTTATTATGTTCTCAAAAATTTAAAACCATGATACAATTTGCCTGGTACGCCTCAAAGTTGGCAAAAGAACGCGACATTTTTTACAATGTTACTCAATTATGTTTTCCTGTAAACATACATAATTTCAAATGTTGGTGTACAAAGAAGTATTCTTTTATAAAATGTTCGTGGTGTGCAATCCATTTATGTATATTAAATGTATAAATATTCCAATATTTTCATATTAATTTCCATCCACAACAGTGTACAGCAATGTCCGAAATTTATAACAAATAAAAACACGATGAATAAACATAAAGAAGTACAGAAATTCCCGTTCTTGTTTTTATTATATATAATTAATTAGTTGCGTCGTTATTATTAATATTTTAGGTAAATATTTAAAAAAACGGAGCAGCTTCGGAGGTCAATGACCTTGACATATGTTATTAAGGACACCTCCCTGAACAACAATTTGCAACTTTTAGCCGTCGCTCGTTGTTCGTTAAAAAATTATAAACAAAAGAAATATCATAAATGAATTCTTATTTTCCGACACCGTGTACGTTTTGTTTGTGTTGTATGCGTGTAGGCAGAGGGGGCTGCGCCCCTCCGCAGGAGAAGGGACTTTGCTCCTCCTTCCTGTTCCCCCCTGGAGAAAAAATGAAGAATTTAATCAAGTGTTGCTTCATGTCATAATTGTTTACTCAAAGAATATGCACGGTTACTCTCACCATACAGGAAATCACAAAGAAAATTTTGTAAATTATCATACTAATTGTCACACGCAAAACATCGAAAAAATTTGGCGAGATATGCGAAGTAATATTCCACTTCATGTCAAGTAAACAATCTTGACATGAAGCGACACTTAATTCTTCATTTTTTCGTGAGGGGGGAGCAGGGAGGAGGGGCGAAGCCCCTCCTCCTGCGGGAGGGCGCAGTCTTGGTTATCTGGGTATATCTTGACTTATTTCTAAAGTACCCAGATAACCAAGACTGAGTGAGCATATTTTGCAAAGTCTGCAATAATACATTATGCCAGTACAATGTAGCCAGCATTCAAACATAATCTGTTATTTCAACTAGTGTTGACAGAAAAACAGAAAAAAAAGAAAATATAAATGTGCCATGCCGCGATGCAAATATTATTGCATCAATCAAGCAGAACTTGCTCAAAAAATGTAGCAGATTTGAAGCATAACGTGCTATTGTCATTTCATTCTTCAT